CATAAAGCTTCGACGTCAGGGTTGAAATTGCGGCAGGGTCATTGTATCTCCTTAGGAGACGGTCTCGAAATGTGGTGTATGGCAGGTCCGTGTATGAAAATTTCTGAGCCCATTTCTTCGCATCGCCGTGGAGGGAATTGTCTATGAGGTAGTCGATCCATTGGTCCTTGTCTACGTCATGTTTGATTAAGAAATTCTCAGCTTTTGTCCAAAAGCTGAGTGGATTCTCGGTGTCCCGGCCTGAGAATTGAGGGGGCTTCATATATGAAAGCCTGTGCTTCGGTGGCTCAGGATGAGGCATCTGGGGTGTAGTGCCTTGAGTGGTCGATAGGGCCGTCATCGCTTGCATAAGAGCAGAGATGAAGTCAGCTGTGGATGGCTGGCTCGAAGACGGTCCTGGGGTCGTGAGTTCGGGTTTTGTTAGTTGGGCGCCATGTTGCCGAGAGGGGGCATTAGGGCCTGTAGGACCCATCGCCGGCTCTTCGGACTTCTTCCTGTCCCCGGAATTTGATCGGGTGTTGACCATCTTTGCTTGTCGCTGGTAAAACGTGTTAATACTGCTACTGGTATAAAATAACAGTTACCGTGACAAGTATCTGTTATAGGTAACAGTTCCAAGGTACAGTTACAAAATAGCAGATCAAAATAGAAAACAGAACAGGTAAAATAATCTAAGTATTCTTTGATTTACGAAAGAAATAACTTAGTAAACAAGGAAATAAAATGGTATATAAAAATACAATGCACAGAAAATGTTTCTAATTGTTTCTTGACTTACGGAAGAGACAACTTAGAATGAGAAGTAAAATACACAAGAATAAAAGAACAGAAAAGTGCAGAAATATTCCTAAGTGTTTCTTGACTTACGGAAGAAACAACTTAAAACAGAAATATAGATAAATGAAATATGTAAATATGAAACAATGTATGGAAATATTTCTAAGTGTTTCTTAGAACAGAAAAACAAACAAGAGAATCAAATATAGTAAAATAAGAATACAAATATTTGTAAGTGTTTCTTGACTTACGGAAGAAACAACTTATAATAGAAAATAAGAAAATCAAATACAGAAAAGATATGGAAATATTGCTAAGTGTTTCTTGACTTACGGAAGAAACAATTCAGCATGAAATGGTAAAATAAAAGAGACAAATATATTAAGAAAATATCTTAGATAAATATCGGAAATAATAATGCAATAATGATTATGAAAATATTTCTAAGTGTTCTTTTGACTTACCGGAAAAGAATGACTTAGGCACACAATAAAATTAACAAGTCAAATATCAGAGAAATATTTCTAAGAGTTCTTTGACTTACCGGAAAGAACTACTTAGACACAAAGTACAAAATCAAATTTATAAAATAGAAAAAAGTAAGGTAAATATTTCTAAGTGTTCTTAACTTACGGAAGAACAACTTAGATACAAAATACAAGAAAAATAAACAATCAAAATAATCAAATAAAATATCAAATAATCAGTATATGAACAAATATAAGTCAAAGTAATATTCTAACCTGAAAAGGTCTGAATATACAATAATAAAATATAAATGGTTATCAGGAAATAAGAAATAAAACAATAGCTTAGTCGGAACAATAATAGCACCGACTAGGTCTACAGAAGAAGAGGCAAGCTCGACTGACCGATGAGAGAAATTCCGTCTGCTTTTATATAAAACAAATCCTTTGTTTTACGTAGTAAAAGTGGAATTTCCCTACATCGAGTCAATTAGAAATTCGGATTTGCCCACACTTGGAATTTCCAAGTATTTCTCCGAATTTCTAAATGCGTCCGGCACGGCGGTCAGCTTCTGCTTGACACGCCTCCGGAGACATAGAAGACTACTAACATTTTTGAAGTGGTGTAATGTAGTCACATTTAGTAAAGGTGCTGTTGTAATTATTGTATTTCAATTACAATTACTGATGCTAATTTTAAATGTTCTTTTATTTACTTTTGAACATTTTTTAAAGAGGTCATGTTTTTCAATTTAGCGCTTGTACTAAAACATTGTACCCAACTGTAACTCTTTACTTTATGCCCTATTATCCATATTTTTTGTCAGTCGTTAGGATTATAAGTATAAGTATACAGGGTGAGTCATGAGGAACTTTACATACTTCTACCATATGTAGAGTCCCTCAGGGAGCATATCATGTGGCCACTAAAAAATGTGAACTCCTCTTCTTTATTAATTAACAGGGTGAATTGTGTAATTGACCAATTATTTAATTTTACTGTAGTGTTTATACGGCTCATTTGATTTTTTTAATTTTTGCATGATACAGTACACTACTATCAAGCATTCGACTGGTATTAGCTAAACTAAAAAATTCCAGGACTGGCTTTGGAAAAATTAATTTAGGGATTCGTATTAAATATTACACCCTGTATATATATATATATATATATATATATATATATATATATATATATATATATATTTAAAATGCAATAAGTAATTTTCAAACTACATAAATAGCCAATGAAAACGACATATGTGACAATGTTGTCGCACTTTTATTAAATTTTTAGTGAACGATCAAATCTTACCAAAAATAGAACAACCATAATGAAGTATCAAATTATAAGGTATTAATTTAAACAGATGTTATAAATTTCAAACATTTTAATTAAAATGAGTTCCTACAACATAATCTAATACGTAGAAAATTAACATCTTTACTGTCACTTTGTATTATCTCTACGATAGAATCAATTATTTTTCAATTTTAAATTTTTACTCATAGATCGTATTGGGACATTATTTTCGATAAAGAATAAAATAAATTGATTAAAAAGTCAAACCTCTTGTATGTGTTAGTTTTTGTTGATTGTAAATGATTAAAATTTTATGTCAAATAATAATACATTGCATCAACTGTACTAAATAAAAATAAATCTAAAAAAGTTTAAAATGAGGGTTGGCATTGACCGTTTGACGTTTCTTGATATTTTATACCCATTGTCATTATTGTCATTATCAATTGTTATTTATGTGAAACAAGAATACATATTTCTTCTGTCATATCTACGTTAAGTACATTGTGTTAGTTTTGGTAGAGCTTTTGTTACTTTCGTTCAAAATGCCACATCAGTTTTCGACCACAGAATATGCAGACATAACATTTGTTTATGGATTCTGTAATAGGAATGGTAGGGCTGCTAGTAGAGAATATCGCAGGAGATTTCCTAATCGTCGAACTCCCAGTCATCCAACAATTGGGTCAGTTTTTAATTATTTGCGAGAAAATGGCACTTGTCCTAGTGGAACAACAGAGCGACATGTAGATGAAGCGCAGGAAGATGACATTAGGGACGCCGTTACTATGAACCCTACAATAAGCACTAGACAAGTAAGTCGAGAACTCAATGTTACTCAATCAAAAGCAAGTAGAGTCTTACAAAAAAAATAATTTATACCCATATCACATTCAAATGGTTCAGCGACTACATGCTGGAGATTAGATCGATAGGTTGGAATTTTGTAGATAGATTAACAATAATCGACCAACGCCATACAGGACACTATTTACAGATGAAGCCCAATTTACCAGAGACGGGATAAATAATTCACGAAATTCACATGTGTGGGCAGAAGAAAATCCCCATGCTATTCGAGAACGTCGTTCTCAGTTAAGGTTTTCGGTTAACGTGTGGATTGGTGTCATAAATAACCAATTAGTAGGTCCTCACTTTTTTGATGGTCTATTTGACAGGGCTTATTAACAGGGCAGGTCTATTTGAACTTTCTACAAAATATTTTGCCGAATTTGCTTGCCAACGCGAACGTTGCTATCCGAGGGATGTATTTTCAGCATGATGGGGCACCGCCACACTTTTTACTGGCAGTGAGACAACATCTTAATAATGTTTATGGCAACAGGTGGATAGGACGTGCAGGTCCTATTTCGTGGCCTTTAAGATCCCCTGATTTCAATCCCGTTAATTACCATATTTGGGGACGATTGAAGCAACTTAGTTTACGCAGTGAATATTAATAACCGACAACAATTAATTGATAGAATTATACATTGTTGTAATACTATTAGAAACGATCCCTAGAGTATTCGTAATTCAATACGTCAATTAACAATTCGGCAACAAAAATGTGTACAGGCTGCAGGGTTCCATTTCGAAAATCCATTTTGAATTATTTATTTTGTTACCATTATTGTATCTTTTCCAGTTCTAATTTATGGGTTTATCATAACTAGGTACATATTTTTAGTTTTTTTTTAAATTGTTCTTCGTTATTGTTAGTAGTTACTGTTTTTTATTGTGCAGTGACGCAGTTTATCATTTCAATTAAAATGTTTGAAATTTATAACATTTGTTTAAATTAATTACCTTATAATTTGATACTTTATTATGGTTGTTCTATTTTTGGTAAGATTTGATCGTTCACAAAAAATTTAATAAAAGTGCGATAACATTGTCGCATATGTCGTTTTCATTGACTATTTATGTAGCTTGAAAATCACTTATTGCATTTAAAAAAATATATATATATATATATATATATATATATATATACAGGGTGTAATATTTAATACGAATCCCTAAATTAATTTTTCCAAAGCCAGTCCTGGAATTTTTTAGTTTAGCTAATACCAGTCGAATGCTTGATAGTAGTGTACTGTATCATGCAAAAATTAAAAAATCAAATGAGCCGTATAAACACTACAGTAAAATGAACTAACTGGTCAATTACACAAATCACCCTGTTAATTAATAAAGAAGAGGAGTTGACATTTTTTAGTGGCCACATGATATGCTCCCTGAGGGACTCTACATATGGTAGAAGTATGTAAAGTTTCTCATGACTCACCCTGTATAGACTAATTATACCACAGCTTTTATCGACCGAATCAAAAAACAATGTATTAGAAAGCATCAATCTAGTTCGGGCACTACACTTAAAATATGAAAATGTAATAATTATGTCAAACTTTGATCTGCCCAATTAGATTTACGCTGTGTATTTTTTTCAGGAAAAAATAGAATACATCTTTCTAGTAATTTTCACTACAGAATGCGTAATGAAAATACTGGCGTATGGTTTCCTCATGCATCAAGGGGCGTATCTTCGGAATGGTTGGAATTTACTTGATTTTACAATTGTAGTTATAGGGTAAGTTTTTTATCTTTAATAATTTTATTATAAGGTATTATTTACAAAATAAAGAATAATATTACTCAGCCTAATTAATTTTCTGAATATAGGCACATGTTGTATTAAAATTTGAACTGGTTGACTGATCTGATGATGTGATGAAGGAGATGAAACTTATTTAAACCGAGAGTTGTATACGTGTAATACTTGTCTATTTATGGGTTTGAGACATTTATAGAAATAAAGCAAAGCAGGAGTCCCTCAAGAACGCTTATTAGGTACGGTGTTTTAACTGTTATACACATACGAAATACCTAAACTAGAAAATGATACTATAGCCATCTTTGCAGATAGTAGATGATATCGGCAAGAAGCAGCAGCAAAATTAAGTTGTCAATAAATAAAATGGACAAAAAAAACTACTTTCTTAATGTTTGTCCCTTATTTTTGTTCCCTCATAAGATGGCCTAAATATTACAGTTTTGTGTTTTTTATATTTAGTATTACGTCAGATTTTTAATCATTGGACGTAGTACTGCTCCATTGGAGACCGGCCCTGGCAAGGTATGGTTAAGTTGTACTGATATCGTACTCCTAGTTTTTAATAAAAACAAGTGGTTTTATTAAATAGTTTTTTAAAATTAAAGTGTTTATCTACTAGATACTACTACGTAAGTTATCTATACGTATTTATTATTTTATTAGTGTGAAAAGAAAACGTCAATAATAAATACATACTACCGTACAATCATTTTGTGAGGTTAGCTGTTATAAGTACCTTATAGTAGCATGCGGTTAGTTTTTCACTTACCAGAGTCGAAGTAAGGCCTCCGCCGCAATAGCTTAAAATGACTTCACAGTATGTAAACACACCTTCCGATCTAACCAGTCCAGTAAATCAACGTTCGAATATCACAAACAGTTATGCATCAGCCGCTTCACACTCTTTTCCGAGTAAGACCCAAGCAATTGTATTTAGTTGCATCGATAATGCTAAACTGCAGGATTATCTCATTCCTTTGGGCACAATCATCAACCCAAAAAATATTATTTTTTCATCTAGATTATCTCATAATAGAATCTGCATGTATTTGGCAAACAAAACCGTAGTAGATAACTTCATGACACAACATGGCTCTATAGAAGTACTCGGCGAAGTTGTAACAGCACGAAGACTTGTCTCTCCAGCAGAAAGATTAGTATTGTCTGGAGTCTACCCGTCAATTCCTCATCAAGTATTAGTTGAAAAATTACAAAATATCGGTTTAAAGCTTATTTCCCCAATATCATTTCTGAAAATTAGCTCGACTCTCCCCGAATATAGTCACATATTGAGCTTTCGGAGGCAAGTTTATATAAGCCCTATAACATCACCAATTCCAGATTCTATTCTAATAACTTTCGATCAAACACCTTACTGCATATTTTTGTCACAAGGTACACTTACCTGCTTTATTTGCAAAAATACAGGACACATATCATCCCAATGCAATTCAGTAACGGAATCAACTCATATTGAGTCAAACAATGAAGTACCAAATCAAACAGCTTCAACAAGTATACTACACAAGGTACCAAACACCCAGCAGTCATCAAGTTATCCATTATCAAATCCAAGCATATCACCTACACCTACAAATCTCAATGACAAAGAAATTACTAACGCTCCTACTCATCTTTCAATCAACCTCATTCAGTAGCTATACCGTTTTCACAAACTTCGGAAGCAATATCCTCCAATCTATCAGCTCCTTTTTCATTAGATTCAACTGCAGAAAATTCTAATAAAACTGATACATCAAGACAATTTTCTGAAACAACCATTTCAACCAATCTTACAAATAAAACTTCAAGCTCGAGTTCTGTCACTACGAAGGAGTTTGCTCCAGTACTTCCAAATGTAGCATCTAAGTGAAAACTCTAATAACAATTCCGAAAACACAATTTCTTCCATAAAACGCAGTATTGGTGAGATCGTCATGCCTCCTTCAGACTCAGTAATTTCATCAGAAAATTGTTTGCAAAACCCAAACCCTCTAAACCAAAAAAACCGCGCTCATATAAAGTCCCATCTACACGGGAAACTCTTGAAAATTTCATTGATAATCATACCCCACCATTCGTTTTAAATTATCACTAATTGTTCTTACTGATTGATAATGTACAAGGCTCCTCCGACACTATTAGCGTCGTCAAAGAATTTACAACTAATATCGATGGTTTACTCCATATTTTACAAAGCAGCTATCAATATGCAAATGATAGATCTACAAAAAGCAAGTTTACAAAACTTCAAAAGAAACTATATAACCATTTAGAGAAAGAGATTTCTGACTTAGATAGTGACTCTTCTGTAGACAATTGTTCAGTATCATCTAACTCCGAATCTATTAACAACATTCAACTCGATACTTCAATGGAACATTGATGGATTTTTTTATCGTCTCCCTATGCTACAGCTTCTTTTATCTAAATATTCTCCAGATATTATTATTTCTTTTGAACATGGAAGAAGCGTCCAATTTTTATGGGTTCCCTCAAACGTCGGAATAACAAGAAATGAAGAAGCTGACAGGACTGCACGAGAGGCAATTTTAAGTAATTTGTCAAAGCCGATAGACAAGTGTGTTTTTAGTGACAGAAGCTTATTTTAAAAATAAAGTGTGGTGTTTGTGGCAAAATAAGTGGTCTTAAACTAATTCCAATCTAAATAAAATCAAAAATAATGTGTCTCAGTGGTTTCCATCGTCGCTCAATAGACGAGAACAAATTGCGGTTGCGCGCTTACGCCTAGGACATACCAGATTAACGTACTCCTACCTTTTCACAAAGAAAAATCCACCTATATGTGATCAGTGTAACGTCCGATTAACAGTCGAACATTTTTTAACAATTTGTAGTAAATATGACCAAGAAAGACAGCGCTACAAGATCTCAAACGCTCTACTACAGGCTCTAGGTCAAAACTGTTCCTGTAACAATATAGTGAATAATCTTAGATCCATAAACATTTTGTACAATCTGTAGGTGTTTAACTTTATTTTTTATATTTTGTTCCGTCCCTAATAACCTTTTGGTGGATGCGACATCTTTTTCTAATAAAAAAAACTGCTCCATTCGTGATTCTGTCGACTTAACTTATTTTCAATATTCCCGATAACACCGCATCTCAAATCAAAGTTCTCAATGTTTTTAATATTGTTCTGCTTGACATTCTACAATTCTACATACAGTAATGTACTTACAAGACTATCTTAAAATTATTATTCGTAAGACACTTAATACCATACACATATACACATAATACACTTATATCACGATTATTAAACAATTTCTGTAGTTTTATGAAAATGGACCTTGCAATTTCGTCTTCAGATTTCAACGTTGCGGTCACTAGTTTCATTTATTGTAAATTGTATTGTAATGAGTGCTGTTCACCCGTTACGATAAAGCATGAGCTAGTGGAAAAGTTCGAAAATTTTAACCGTCACATAATTAAATACCATTTACCAAACAATCGTAAAGACATTTTAAATTCAAAAAACACTATAGATAACCTACTTATGTTTTTAAAAGACTTTAATTTACTACGCAAAGTGTAATTAACTGTAAAACTCCGTCGAGTTTTACTTCTCGATGAAGTGCTTCGGACGAAGTGTCGAAGTGAAGTTAGTCGAGGCGAGGTGACTCTCTACATACTCGTGAAGTCAAGTAATGTACTGTGAAACTTCGTATTCTGCATCGTACTCGGCATGAAGTACCTGTCTATACTCTCGTACTTACTGCACTTCGATCAACTTCGCGAGTAGTATAGTGGCCGCTTGTGAATAAAAAAAGTGTTATTGTTAGTATTTTTGAGGTGGCTTTTTGGGACAACTTTATTTCACGATAGTTAATTTATTTACATGAAATCCACTTTTTCTTTTATTTATTTGAAACTCTTGAGTTAAAGTTCGGATCACGTAAGCAAACGAAAAACTTAACAATGAAGTAAAAACTTCCTTTGTAAAATGGTATGACATTTTTATTAAAATTATCAAAAATGGATTGATAAATGTACAGAACGTTTTCGATCCTATCAGATCATCATCAGTGAAAAACGTCTATAAAGTATTTGGAATTAGAACTGAACTATTTGGTTGAATTTTGAAAGATTTTTTTGTGGCCTAAGGTTTGTGCCACGCAGCCCAAAGAATTTATATTAGTCTGTTGTTAGCTCCTTAGACAAACAGAGTTTTTGAGAGTAGCAGTGTAGTAAAGTAAATGTAGACAAGGTGTACGCACAATGGAAGATTAGGAAAAAGGGCAGAAATGCCATTTTACAGTTCAGGGATGAACTAATGTCGGATGAGGAAAGTGATTCTGTAATAATAGGTGATGTTTATTCGTCTGATGCTTTCTTTCCTAGTTCGCAAGCTTCGATTGACTTGGAAGATATAATAGTGCAGTTTTGTCCCAAAAAATGTAAATTATGTCAAGAAGTAAATATTACAATGGATTCCGAAGCATCTTCAAGCAAATCAAATAGTTTATCTGCCTCAAATGATGTTGGAGATTTGCCGATTAGCTCACAAACAGGGTCAGATAATATATTGAATACTTAATTTCCCAGTACAGAGCTGAAAGTGACCCAGAAAATAGAAGTAATCATCAAGATGACCTAATTGACTTGAATAACTTACAGTGGAACCCTGTTGACGGATCATCTTTAAGAATTTTGACTTTGATGGAAAAGATACAGGAGTTAGAGCTCAAATCTATGAAGATCATATAATTAGGGATCCCTGTAGTTTTTTAACTTATTTGTTTGTGACAAAGTGATTAATCTTATGGTTAACGAAACCAATCTCTATGGCGAGCAGTGTTTGGCGAAAGAAGGACTGACACAAAAATCGCGCATCAAAAAGTGGACTCCAACTGATCATCTGGAAATGGAAAGGTTTATTGGTATCCTATTATGGACGGGCTTGTGTAAGTTGTTCACTATGTGATTGTATTGGAAAAATCATTATTATATC